CACAGCTCTCTATTAACAGGAGGACATTATCTACAGCGCCCTCCCTCCCCCCAGCCATGGAAAACCAATGAAATTGGATGCAGAGACGGCTGGCCCGGGAAGGGGTGTCTGCGCTAAGAAGTGACCCCTTCTTCAGCTCAATCTCTTTCTCTCTTTGGGGTGCGTGAGGACGGGAGGGCTGGAGTGGAGCACAGCTGGAAGTCAAGCCAACCTAGATTCATTTCCTTTTGAAAAGACACCCTCTCTCTTTGTTAGCGATGTTGCAAACTACCCATTATCGCGCCCTGCTTCGCATCCGCTCCATGAGAGCCTTGTCAGATGCCTACAACTCAACAGTGGTCCTGCTATTATCCCCAGAAGTTGAGCAGACCTTTCCTTTCAGGAGGAGGTGCACTATAGAAAAGGGAAGTTTTATGAACGCATCCCTCAGATGGAAGCCAGAAGACTTAGGGTAGGAGGGGGAGCTTCTACGTGTAGGAAAATCAGGCACAGCTTCCCCAAGAACCACGAGCCATATGGACTTGGGGACACAGGAAGCTTCCTTATACTGAATCAGACCATTGGTCCATTTAGCACAGTACTGTCTACAGCAAGGTTTCCCAAACTTAAGTCTCCAGCTGTTTTGGGACTACAACTCCCTTCTTCCCTAGCTAGCAGGACCGATGGTCAGGGATGATGGGAATTGTAGTCCAAGAACAGCCTGAGACCCAAGTTTAGGAAACCCTAGATCAGTGTTTTTCAACTTGTGGGTCCCCAGATGTTGTTGGACTACAATTCCCATCATTCCTAGCCAGCATGGCCAATGGTCAGGGATGATGGGAGTTGTAGTCCAACAACATCTGGGGACCCACAGGTTGAGAACCGCTGCCCTAGATAGACACTGACTGGCAGACAGGTCCGGATTAAGACCTTCAGAGGCCCCAAGCACTTAAAAGATTTTGGTGCCCCCATATATATCTAATTCAAAATAGAAACAATAATAAACTGTAAAATAAAATTTCATTTTTTCAAAATGAAACGAAACCTACAGTAAGATGGAAAGCAATGTTTATCTTTTCACTTCCACTTTATTTATATTTGAAAAATCTTTTTTCTCATTGCAAAGTCTTTGATCAGATCCTCAAGACTAATCTTACATAACACATCTGCTGCAATACTTGGTAGAGATGGGGCACACAGCCTGCCTTGTTGCACAGTTGTCCCATTGGGATTCGTAATACACTTCAGCTGAGAAAATGAACACTCAGCTGAGCAGTTTGAAGCCATTAATGTTAAAAATCTGGCAATGGAAAATGTCTTTGGTGCCCCCTTCCCTTTATGCCCTAGGTAAAGGTAAAGGAACTGCTAGGTTGGCAGGAGCAGGGACCGAGCAACGGGAGCTCACCCAGTCACAGGGATTCGAACCGCTGACCTTCTGATCGGCAAGCCCTAGGCTCTGTGGTTTAGACCACAGCGCCACCTGCGTCCATTTTATGCCCTAAGCACATGCTTATTTTGTTTAATGGTTAAGCCAGCCCTCTTGGCAGAGCTTGAGGCAATGGACCTCCTAACCCTACCTGGAGATGCCAAGAATTGAAGATGGGACCTTCTGTGCAAAGCAAACACTCTAACCTGAATCACACCCCTTTCCTGTTGAAAGTAAGACCTAAGAACAGTGGCAGAGCATCTGTCCACACTGCCCAGGGCAAGTGCGCTCCCGAGGGGGGCATGGTGTGGAGGGTGCCCCCACAGGTGCGGAATAGCAAGCCACCCATGGCGGACATTCAGCGCACCAAAACTGAACTACAATTCCCAAAGTTGCCTGGGAAGATGGGTTGACTGTTAAATGCCTCTGGGAACTGTAGCTCTGCGAGGGGAACAGAGGTCTGCTAACAACTCTCAGCACCCTTAACAAACTGCAGCTCTCGGGTTCTTGAGGGGAAACCATGACCAGCACCACAAGGGCTTTAGATGTGTGGTGTGGTTCAAATCACAGAACTGCAGTGTTGGAAGGGGCGCCTGTGAGATTTGAAACACAAGAGCAGTCAAGTACAACATTCCTAGAGTGAACATGTTTACACATGGGGAGGAATGTTTGTCCAGCCAGCAGGTAAACTTCCTGTTTCCTTCTGGGCTGGGACAGACTTCCTCTGCATGTGACTAGAGGTGGGCGTGGCCTCACCTGTGCAGGTAATGACAAAAGCACAGGGTAACCATCTCTCTCTCTTTGACTACATGTATCGAAGAAGCAACATCTGCTTAGCCAAAGATGCTCTCTTGGCCTCCACCCAGGAGAGGACAGAGGGACTGTCTCCTTATGAGATAGTTTCCAGGTGTATGTTACTTTTCTAAGCTAAATCTGCCTTCTGGGATCCGATTGTGAACAGAATGTGAGTAAACTCTTTTTATACTTTTATAGAAGACTGTGTCGTGTCTTATCTTTATAAGGGAATAAGGGGGAAATACCAGAGCAGTTATTATAGAGGCTTTAGCGAGCCTGAGCAAACGCATCCACTGTGAGTTTAAAAGGGGGAATGTTACTCTACTAAATTGTGAACTTGTTTACACAAGATGGAAAGGCTATAATCAAACAATATATCCTCTCCTGCATCCCTGAACATTCCCACAGCGCCGAGAGCCATCCAGTCTAACCCCCTACAATGAAGGGCTCCATTGGACTTGCTTAAAGCACCGTGAAGCGAGGCTTCCATTCAGAGAACCAGCAAACTGAAAACAAGCCACCTGGATGCTCCCTCTTCCCAGGAAGCTGAACTCTCCTGTTGGCAGGTTTGGGACACTAGCATTTTGCAGAACCCCATAATGACAAGACTGCCTGTGGCTGAGTTGCTGACAGCACTTGGAAGTATGTTTCTCAGCAAGCAATTTATGCTACAACCCTGCCGTGCTTGGCTGCCATTAGGCAGTCAGTCCCCAGGTTTGAAAGAAGTTCATTCCAGTCCCTCGAGTGGGTCGCCTTGTTATTGGGGTCCCACCTTGCATCACCTTTTGACTCTAAACGCAACAGACTCTAAATACAGCAGCGTAAAGATACCCGAAATAATGAGCTATAGCGCGATCTCTGCACTCACGCTATGCATATAGTTGCAAGTCTCTCTCTCTCTCTGTTTAAGTAGATGTCTTAGAAGCCCTCATTAAAAAGGCAATCGAGGCATTTATGTATTTTGTTCTGTATTTTTAAGGGAGGCCCGCGTGTTGCAAAACTGGCTTGCTGGCAGCAAGCTGACAGGTCATTACTTTGCATCCTCCAAATTCTATGTGCTGATAAGAAAACGGCACCAATTTGATGTTTTATCAGTTTCCCGGATGGAAGGGGGAATTATGCAGGCCTAGATAACGATTCTAACCACTTTGCCATAGATTAGAGTTTCGCTTTTGGGTGGAGGGATCGTTATAACCACAGTATGTGTGTATACATCCACCGTAGCAAACTTTCTTCCCTTGCTCACAACCAACACTAAAAAGCAGACAAAGAATGTTATTTTGAAAGAGGAAGAGCAAAAGGCTAAAGTATGGGGGCAAAAATTAGGGATACTGCAGGACACTGAGCAAAATCAAGCTGTAACACTCATTGTTCCAGCTTACAGTCTAAAGGTACATGAGTAGGGCTGCCATATTTCAAAAAGTGAAAATCCGGATGCAAAAGTTGGGGATTGTTGTTGTTTGGCAAAGTTGTTGAGCAAAATCTCAAAAAAAGAGAGAGAACTTTTGAGCTATTTTTAATGAGATTTACCAAAACTTACACTACCGACATGGGCTGCCATACACCCGGATTTTCCTGGACATATCAGCAATTTCCGCTTGGGCGCTGTTTAGGAGGGCTGAATACCAGCTATGTCCGTATGGCAACCCAATACATGAGGCTACCGCCTTGCTGAAGCTAAGCAGGTCTGGGCCTGGTCAGTAACTGGATGGGTGACCATGCTAGGAACACATATATACCACCTTGGACTCCATGGCGGAAATGGGTGGGATATAAATTGTTGTTGTTAGTGGCATCCGTCTGCCTCAAAGGACAATGGAGTGTGCCTTGGGGGGTGAACTCAAACTGCAGCATCAAAGTGACCTCTCTGGGGTGCAAGCCTGGACAGTGTGTAGGGAGGTCCTGGGCTGGCCAGATGACAAGACCCTGTTGTAAACAAAAATCTGGCATTTTTCCCTTATGGGGTATCCAAGAGCCCATATAGAGTCCTTACGTAGGTTCCCTATTGGTAGGAGAAAATAACAGAGGCCAACCAGAGAATATTGAGAAGCAAAGCAGCTAGTAAGCCTGATCTTTATTGATCTGTTGCAACAGGGTGCTCCCCCCACACACAGGAGGGAGGAGGAACCCAGAACAATCGCGCGCTAGGCCTTATAAAGACATTTTAAATTCCCTGCCCTGGAGCTCAAGACCACCCCTCCATACATCATACATACATCACAGAAGGGGTGTAACCCAAGACCACCACACACACCCCCCCGATACATCATACCTACATCACAGAAAGGGAGGTTTACAGCAGAAATCTGAGTGGTTTGTTTACCTCCTGTCTGCCAGGTTACCTGTTTAATGGTCACTTGATTGGATTGTCTGGGAAGCCTGGCCAGTCTTTTGTAATGAAAAATACTTAGTTCCTGAGCCAGGTCACAGCCCTATTCATATCTTACATGTGCCCTTAAGACAGGATTTGTGAAGGAAAAGACAATGGGGAGGCTTTTCCATTTTCCTTTGACCTTGCAGAGAAAACATTTGCTCAGTTTGGGAATCAAAATGGTTTCAGGTTGGTCTTCCTGCGCTGATCTATGTACGTGCTAGGTTGGTACACTTATGAACATTTAACTGATATCTAAGACCTCAAAATTCCTATCACAACCCCCCTCTCGGTCTCGCTGATGTGGTCCAAAGGAAAGCAGAGCAAGATGCTTGGCATCATCTTGGCTGCAGGAGTTGCTGGAAAGAGGTGCTGAGCCGAGGAGGCGCCAAACTGAGAAAATCCACAATTAAAGAAGATCTATTTGGGAGGGCCTTTGTTGGCAAGGTGATGTCTCTAATTTTTAAGACAGCATCTTAAAAAGTAGAGACATCACCTTGCCAACAAAGGTCCTTATAGTAAAAGCTATGGTTTTCCCAGTAGTGATGTATGGAAGTGAGAGCTGGACCATAAAGAAGGCTGATCGCCGAAGAATTGATGCTTTTGAATTATGGTGCTGGAGGAGACTCTTGAGAGTCCCATGGACTGCAAGAAGATCAAACCTATCCATTCTGAAGGAAATCAGCCCTGAGTGCTCACAGGAAAGACAGATCCTGAAGCTGAGGCTCCAATACTCTGGCCACCTCATGAGAAGAGAAGACTCCCTGGAAAAGACCCTGATGCTGGGAAAGATGGAGGGCACAAGGAGAAGGGGACGACAGAGGATGAGATGGTTGGACAGTGTTCTCGAAGCTACCAGCATGAGTTTGACCAAACTGCGGGAGGCAGTGGAAGACAGGAGTGCCTGGCGTGCTCTGGTCCATGGGGTCACGAAGAGTCGGACACGACTAAACGACTAAACAACAACAACATTGGGGGAGGGCAAATGTTGGCCCCGCTCAGGGTGCCATATTACCAAAGATTACCAAAGTCCAGCCTGATGCCTTGTTTTCCCTATTTCTGCTTAATTTGCTTCTTCCCGTAACTTTCTAGAAACGGAATGCAAGTTGTATTGTTTGTGTACAGGTGACTGGCTTTATTTTCAATGTTTCTTTACAAAGCAACAAAAATAAATATTCTTTGCAGTTCTCTCTTTCTTGAGCATGTCTGCTCAGAGGCAAATCCCACTTACTTTAACTTTCTTTGGAAATAAGTGTGTGCCCTTAAGTCAATAGTCTTGGCTCTGATTTCTCAGAAGCAGCTAACTTTAACTAGCTCATTGATGGGAGTAAAAGAGGAATTTGCTATATACTCACTGTTTGTCTCGCCTCTGTGTCAAACTTCAGAAAGGCATTTCCGCCCGTGATACTCTGATCGCTTCCTAAAGGAAGAAAGTTCAAAAAGAAAAATATTGGAGATAATGATCATGTCCTTGTTCACACAGGTAAGTGATAGACGCCCTTATTTCAAACTAGCAGAGGTTTCCGAGCACCATAGCCTTGAGAGGGGGACAGCCTCCCCCAACCTGGTGCCCCCTCCAAATGTTTAGACTACAATTTCCTTTGGTCCAAAATCTCTGGAAGGAGCCAAATTGAGGAAGGCTGCTGTAGAATATGGTAGCACCTGTTCCCCTCCCCCAGTGACAAGTTGACACTTGGCAGGGAAATTGTGCAAGGGGGGGAAATAACCTTCCTCTGCCACAGTCCCAATCTAGATAGGCAGCCCCCACCCCAGCTGATTTTTATAAACAGGGGAAATTGTTATTGTAGGTGCATTTTGGAATCACAAGCTAAGAGTCACAGCTTTTCCTAGCTTGGGCCATGTTGATCACTGGGACAAGACAGTTTGATCGTATTACACCGATCCTGGCCCAACTGCACTAGCTTCTGGGCCCAGTTCAAAGTTCTGGTTTTGACCTATAAAGCCTTAAAACGGCTCAGGACCACAATGCCTCAAGGACCGCCTCTCCCCATCGAAACCAACCCAGACTCTGTGTTCATCATCTGAGGTCATCCTTCATGTGCCTCTTCCACATGAGGTCTGGAGCATGGCAACATGGGAACAGGGCCTTTTCTGCAGTGGCTCTCCCCAGGGAGGTTCGCCTGGTGCCTTTATTATATATCTTTAGACACCAGGCAAAAACATTCCTCTTCAACCAGGCCTTTGGCTGATTAATATTATACAGTGGTACCTCAGGTTAAGAACTTAATTCGTTCTGGAGGTCCGTTCTTAACCTGAAATTGTTCTTAACCTGAGGTACCACTTTAGCTAATGGGACCTCCCACTGCCGCCGCCACGCAATTTCTGTTCTCATCCTGAAGCAAAGTTCTTAACCCGAGGTACTATTTCTGGGTTAGCGAAGTCTGCAACCTGAAGCATCTGTAACCTGAAGCGTCTGTAACCCGAGGTACCACTGTACAGCCTTTTAAATGTATTTGTGGGAAAGGGGCGTTATTGTTTTGTTGTTTCTGTCTTAGCTATTTATTTGTGCTTTTGTCTTGTATTTTTATCTTATGAACTGCCCTTTTGATAAAGGGAAGCATATAAATCTAATAAATAAAAATAAAATAAACTTGGGGCCCTCCATAATTTATTAGGCTACAACTCCCACTATCCCTTACTGCCTTCGCTGTGTTAGATTGTACAGGCTCCTCAGAGCAAGGCACCTATCTTTGGGTTGTGGTCCAAAACAACTGAAGGCCCTCAGGTTGGGGAATGCTGCTCAATTGCAGTGAATACTGTTGGGAAATGTTAATCATTCACCACTTTGGCGCCTTTTACTAAGAAGCTGGTTCTCTCATCAGAGTTGACTCAAGCAGAAATAACAGGAAAGAAACAAAAAAAGCATAATCCTTTATATTTGCAGGTGTCCACGCACTCTTGAAATTTCATTCCTGGCAGATAGGCAATGAGCATGGACCCTTCAAGCCTCGACGGTTGCAAAGGGATTCATCCTGCATGGCTAGAAAGGGTGAACAGCCACTATCCATTCCTCCGTGGTCTGAACACCCCTTTCTACGTTGGAACGGACAGGATGTAATTGGCAGCCTTGTTCAAATATCCATTTGAACATATGGACTGCCTGTGTTAATGGATACATTTAAGCCAGGACCGACAGAATGTTTTCATGGTGAGTACCAGATGAAGATATTTATTTCCCTTTTCTCTGCTGTAGCTGCAAAAATAATTGTTTTTTAACGCGTGCCCCCACTGCTTTGCAGTTGCTGTATTTCCAAAACCATCTCCCCCCCCCATGACAGGTGCACCCCTTTAGGAAGCAGTGGTGTTAAAGAAAAAACACTAATAAGGAAATCGAGATGCAGCCGGCAATCCCAGGAGGCAAACTGTGCCGGGCAAGGCACGCGACAGTTTGCAGAACGCTCGTCAATATCCTTTAATTCAGAGCGCAAGCACAGGCTTGCACTAAGGTCAGCAACAAGCGCCATCCGCCGCCCCGCTCTCCCTTCCCCAAAGCTGCTAACGATTCCTTCTGCTGCGGAGACCCTTAACAGCATCCAACCTCCTGCCCTTTAGCCTGTCGCTTCTCCTTCGTTGCCGCGCCAGCCGAGATCATTAGGCTGATGTGCAACGGCTGCGCTCAAAGCTAATGGTTTGGTCCCTGGCCACAAAGCTGATAAACACCAGCAAGCCATCAACAAGAAGGGAAAGGGAAATGCTTCGCGCAGCCAGCTCAAAAAGCGGTCTTACAGGAAGTCCCGATTCCCTACAAGGGGTGGGAAAGCTCAGACCTCTCTATTAGGCCAGGGGGATTCTCCCCACACCATCCGCTAGCCATCCCCAAACCAATCCTCTCTCTCTCCGGGACATGACCTACATCGGCTTTGCACCCTCTTTTGGTGTTTTGGCCTGGCTGGAATGTGTCCTCAAACGCTGATATCGTGGAGTGGTTGGATGCAGAGGAATGGCGGGAGTAATAATAATAATAATTTATTATTTATACCCCGCCCATCTGGCTGGGTTTCCCCAGCCACTCTGGGCAGCTTCCAACAAAACACTAAAATACAATAACCTATTATATTATATAAATTATAAATTACTTCTCCAAGAGGGAGGAATGCATGAGTGAACAAATTGAACCAATTATTGACGAAGTCACTCCTCTCCCCCTTACTTACCTTGACCGGTCACATTACTTCAAAGAGCTTCAACACAACTCTGGAAACACAAATTCCCCAAGAAGCCTGGCGCAAGAGCTAGTTCTAGCTGAGAAACCTGTGGAAAATATTTCTGTCACCTATAACCAGCGGCCCCTGGCAGAATTAACAACATGCCACCAAGACCAGGCGCCCACTTCCAAATATACTCAAACTGAACTGAGTGATGGCCATCTTCAGGCCCATTTCCAAGATATAAATATAGACCTTTCCAACATAAAAAATTACTTGACAATAACAAATGGGTTATTGCTGACCCTTGTGGAAAATTTTATTCCCCAACCAAAAGAGACAACAGCAACCGATGCACCCCAAGTGCATAAACCAGATGAACTTGTGCATAACCCAGATGAACTAGTGAAGAGGAGACAAGCAGTAACAACCAAGAAATTGCAAAAAAATAGATCAAAAGTCCGGGAAAAGAAAACTAAGAACATTAAAACAACAAGGAAAATAAAGATAAGCCGACATAAACAATGGCAGAAATTATTTAATCTACTCCCATTGGACTCAAATAAATCTGCTGCACGAGATAAAAAAGAGAATGGCAGGAAGGGGAAAAGAAGCCATCCCCAAAGCTAATGGCTAAGGTGGCATCTCTGAACCAGAATTCAGAACTAAGTGGGAGGACGGAAGCAACGTCCCAGAGTTCTGGTAACAGTTCACTCAGCGAACCAGATTCTGGGGGAGAAGTGGTCCCTAACAATGAAGGCAGCAAACCGCTTAGCAAATCGGGAAATGGGGACGATGCAATGCCCAATCGCGATGACAACACTATACAAGATGGGCAAACCTTTATTCAGACAAGATGTTGGAACCTGATTTTAAATCCCTCAATATTAGTATTTACAAACTTCCCAAAATCAAAGGGCTTCCTTACAGGGAAAGAACGAAGAATGAGCTCCTTGAACGTTCTGAATGATATATTGCCAGGAGCAGTAAAGCCATATGACATTATTTCTGTAGATTATTTGCATCATGATGGTTGTTCAATGAGAGCAATGATCACATTTAGAGACCAGAACCTGGCCAAGTTTATCTACAGATCAAGATATATATTCTTAAAGGCCCAGATAAAAATTCTTAGATTTTTTGAAAACAAGGCACCACCGAATCCCCTTCTGGAAGCCAAGCACGCAAACCCTAGTAAGGAGAAACAACCTCCCAAAACCCGGCCTGGTCTCCAGAAACGAGAGCTTCAAAAATTAAAAAGGAAAGATGCCCACCTGCAAGACCTGCAACTTCAAGAGAATGAAGATGAGGATCTTTTTTCCGCGGAAGAAAATACCTTAATTAGGCA